GCGCAGGACAGGATATATAGTGCCCGAGTGTACACGCAAGCACAAGTGCACTTTCTATTTCCACACTCCCATGTCAATGGGACGGCAAACCGACACAACCGAAGAGAGATCAGGTGCAAGACCCAAGGGCTTTACGTGCTTTTCGAGGCACGGAGGTGAAATGTAGGAAATTGAATTTCCTGACTGCGGGCTGCAACAAAGGATTTAAGAAAAAAAACGGGAAAACTCAATAACGGATTTTTAATTTTAACGTGGCTTTATGTCTGCTGATCGGGTTCAGGGTCTTAGGTTTAGTGGATTTGGAGTTTAATGAACTACTAAATAACATAGCGTTAAAGGCTCTATATGAAATCATCCGGAAGTTTATAATTATATTTAACCAGAAAATCAATGGATTTTCTCCTAACTCATCAAATCTAAAGCTTAACTCCTATAATAGAGACGTGATGAAATATATAGTTTGACTATTACGTACCGCTAACGCCCTATCTATAACGGGCTACTTAGACTACGTTTAGTCAAGAAAATGGGTTCACATGAAAAATTGTGAAAGAAGTGATAAATGGCTAGACTGTCTAAAAAATCATAAGTTCAATATAGCGTTAGTCGCCTTTTGCATAACGCTAAGCAGGTAACACAGTTGACACATTCTTTTGTCATAAGACCCACATAAATATGGGACTTATAAGTCCCCCACCAACATGAGACAAGTCAGCAGAATTTAATTATAGTACCCAAAACTCATAAGATAAATTGACTTGAGTAACAAAAATAAATATCAAATATATATGAGCTTTTAGTAAACTTTTCGCGAAGGCTGAAAATGCTGGTATTAGAGTTTACGATTCACAATAAAAAATAAAATCATGCCTTGGAAAACCTACGGCACATTTGATTTCAATTGCATTCCCGTGTTTGCATTCCAATATTCTTGTAGTTCTAAAGATAGCGTTAGAGCGAATGGAATTGAAATTTACATGGAATGGAATTTACACGGGAGATGCTCCACACATAATATTGAACTGAGAGCTTCAATCCAAATCAATGCTAATGTCTAACACTTAATAGTCTGTGGTCAAACAATCACACAGTGTAGAGATTGTCACCCCCAGAATTTTTAAAATGGAGCCTACAAATAATTACTGACAGATTGATGAGCTGTGAACTTTGTGTGATTTCAAATGTTCCTTTTTTAATAGTGTGTATTCCAGGGCAAAAAAGGAGTTTATTTTATATTTTGTTTATGAGATATCTGTTTCTTTTTATATTTATATGTGTAGTTGAAAGTAGAATACAGCTTGGTATATTTCTAGGTTTGTTTTATTAAGCAAACCTAATTTAGCAAGTTGTATTTTAACATATATAATAAACGACTGTCGAATTTCGACGAATATGCGTTCACTACTATTAGTTAATACTTCTAGTAATTACACGGATGGACGTGGACCATACCTATCTTGTGATGGATTTGGAACTAAAATTTTGTTATAATACCAGACTTTGATGCATTCCAACTTAGTGAAAACGCATTTGTACGTTTTCACCTCTGGGGGCTAATTTGGAATTTGCGTTTTTGTTCGATGTTGGCTGTATGTGGCCATAGTCTGCAGTGGAACACTGATGATAATCAGAGTTCAGGCGGACTGTTATTTGGTTTGTCATCCCAGTCTAATGAAAAGTTATGTGTAAATTAAAATATACTGTATTATAATAATACTATAATTATAATAAATATTAAACCAAAGATTTCACGCTTTGGTTTACAAAATAGGATTTAATTCCCCAATACACAGACTTTGTAGACATTTAAATATTTATAATAATGTAGTAGATACTCGCCACGGCACTTTTAACGTTTTTCGGCACAAAATTTATAAATTTGTCAATATTTATTTCTAGTAAAGTAGTTGTTTATTTTTAAGTTTTTCTATTGTATAGTATATTTTTAGCTATCTGATAACATTAAGCTTGTAAGAAATTATGTAAGCAAGCATACATAAAACAAACATACATACATAAACACTCACGCCTGTCACCCAGAGGGGTAGGCAGAGACTACGGACTTCCATTTGGCGCGATCCTGACACACCTCTCTCGCCTCTTTTACATCCATATATCTACGCATACACGCTCGTCGGTTAAGGGTACTCAAAGGGTTAAGGGTGTAAGCAAGCATGCAGTGTTTATTATTAAATGTTCACTTAGTTTATTTTGCCAACTTAGAATTAAGCATAAGTATTAATATTAAATTATTTGTTGAACCATAAAAAAATTAAAGATTTAACTTCCTTTGCGTGAAAAAAAAAAACGTAATTATCTGCAGTTAAAAATGTTGTGATATTATGTGAAACTATTTTTTAATATCAACGCAATAAGCACCGTATACGCATCTTTAATACCATTATAATTAAACTACACACCGAACTGTAAGTGTAGTGTAAGTGTTGATAAACAAAAAATAAAATTGGTTTGTTAGGTAACTAACTCAGTTTACAAACCCATTACCCGCTATTAGAATTAGGTTTAAACCTCTTTATCTACATCCTTGTCCTTACCATTAGGTCTTGTTTGTAAAGGGATAACAATATTCTATTACAGAGGGTAGTGAGTGCTGCTTGCTTTGAAATTTAAGCATAAAAGGAATATCTTAAACAGAAAATATTTATTTGCTATTTTAGTAAAAAATTATTGTATTATCTGTAACAGTTCTGGTTAATTCCTTTTTTCAACAAGAGAAAAAGCTTACAATATTGGAAATTTTAATAATCGTTTGACAGCACGAATATCATCCAAAGAGATTTATCATCCATATTCGGAACGGAAAAAAAGAAGAAATACTCTAATGGAAAATGCTTTTAAAATCTATCTGATGCGCTCGGTTGGATTTTTTGGTTTTCTATATACATTAGATTACTAACTGCTAAATTGTATTATATCTATTCTACGAGTATACTATATCTATAGATTGTGTTACTTCATTTTAATTGTTGAGTTTTATTATAGATTGTGTTACTTCATTTTAATTGTTGAGTTTTATTGGTACAGTAGTAGTGGAGTAATATCATGATAAATTAAAAAAAATTACTCCCACACTAGGGTTTTCTTCTAGTCATCTTTCGTCGTGATTTCACATACTCGTTGTAAACTCCACATGACCGAGACGCGAAATAACTATTTGTAGGCGTACTAAACATTTGTATTGTACGGGATTCGTACCTGCCTCTCTTCGCAAAGCCGCACCGAATGCTTAGCCATTGCGCCATCGAGTCGTCAAATATAAATAATCCTTTAAAATGCTTATAGTAAACCTAAACTATTGTTGTATAAATTGTTTAAAATAATGAAAAAATAAATATCTTATACGCATTTTGGATTGGAACCCCCTCGCCTACGCTGATAGTGACCACAGTGGGGTTTTAGCCTGTAGAAGTCCACTTTGACTCACGTCTTATTGGTGAAATCGTTTACCACCGGCGATTTTTCCAGACCGACACGACTTGCAGGACCTTGAAGAAATGAGCTTACTTTTCCTTTGATGTTACAGTTTATGGGATGCAGTCTACACTTACCATCAGGTGAGCTGCATATTTCATTTGCTCCTCTACTTTAAAAGAAATAATTATCTCGGGACTTGTATGAAAATACATTAAATAAAAAAAAATAACACAAAATACTGAAACATCAAATTTTAGTTTAGTTTCGAGAATAATTTTAGTTTTTATAAACTTGGTCACATCTACTCTTAACTGTTCGTACCATCTGTATGCTGACGACTGCAAATTTACTTGCACTCATCTATTGAAGTGCTCCATGACGCTATTAGAATGTTAAATCTGAACTTGGAAGCTATTAAAGAATGGTCTAGGCGTTTTGGAATATCAGTTAATCCAATGAAGTGTCAAGCTATAATCATAGGTAGCTCGAGAATGTTGTCAAAAATTGATGTGACAAGCCTACCTGCTGTCTATTACAACGATATACTGATACCGTTCTCTTCCTCTGTAAAAAGTCTTGGCCTGTATATGGATAACACAATGAAGTGGTGTACGCATGTTACCGAAATTAGCCATAAAATCTTTGCCACCTTACGATCCCTCTATCGTCTGAAGGACTTTCTTCCAATCAAGACTAAGCTAACACTTACAATACCCATTATTGATTATGCAGATGTGTGCTACCCAGATGTGAACCAAATTCTTCTTAATAAGCTAGAGCGTCTTCTCAATAGCTGTATTAGATATATATTTGGTCTTCGAAAATATGATCATATCTCTCATTATCGTGAACGCCTGATATGGCTCACTATCCAACAAAGACGAAACTCTAGAATTTTGCTTGTTCTTTTCTCAATTTTGAATAATCCAACTTCTCCAACATATCTGAAGGACAAATTCCAATATCTCTTTTCAACTCATGATAAGGTTTTTTGCTCCTCATCTAATCATAAGATCAGTATTCCATCTCATTTCACTGGATTAAGCAACAATTCCTTTACTATTCAGGCAACACTACTCTGGAACTCCTTGCCCGAAAACATAAGAAGAGTGCCAAGTAAGGATTATTTTAAAAGTTGGTACACGACTTTTTTTGAATCGAAGTGATGTTGGATGTTAAGAATGATGATGATAATTTTGACACATTTAGATGTTTTATTATTTGTAATTTCAATATATGTATTTTATTATTATATGTAACGTATATATTATATCTATGTATGATACATATTTTGTTAATATATTTTATATGTAAAGTTTTTGTATATTATATATATATATATATATATATATATATATATATATATATATATATATGTGTGTGTGTGTGTGTGTGTGTGTGTATTTGCACCTGCCACAAAATCTCATCACTCCACGGGCTGACTGGCAGAGAATGCCGCTAGGCATTAAGTCCGCCCTTTGTTACCCCTGTTATTAAGGTGTCAACAAAAAAGATTAAATAAATATATAAATAATTTTAACGAACAGCATAATTTATTCACGTACCTGTAGCAATCCATATCGCAACTCGATATCAATGAAGTAGTACTCCCTAGCGAATGGTGGGCGCTGAGGGGGAGCTTGCTGAAGTTGGTGATGAGAGCTCGGCGGACCCAGTGACATCGGGTGAGGCATAACCGGTGCTTGTCCGCCCGTCAGCACTGGGTTTGACTCCTTCGTAAAGCAGACAAATTTAGTAATCAAACTTTAAACGTAGACTAAGTGAATCATAAATGGAAATTCTCGTAATTCAGAATCATCAGAATCATCGCATCCAAGTCCATTATAAATCATCTACTGAAAACCTCTCTCAATCTATCTAAATCTATCTACTGGCTACACTTTATTATAAAAAAAAACACATATACTGGAGGTTGTTCTACCTTACGGTTTTGATTACGTACGGTCCTACTTTCTGCTTAATAATAATAATATAAGAAAAATATTTAAATGTTAATACTTGTGTTCTGTAGAGAATTCGTGATTAACTCTAATCATGGTGGTGATATATTATGACTATTCGTGGATTTTTGCCTGCTATATGTGTGTTTTATTTTCTTCGTAATCCCTGGAAAACATTTGCACTATGCTTAACTCAGCAACCTAGGCAGTGTCTTACTACGGGTATGTCCTAAGATGTATATGGAAAAAGCAAAAATTATACCTTGCGTTCATGAACACTGCACTCGATCTCGTTGACTAATAAGTGTATCTGCGTTCAGAAATTGCAACAAATCACATGTTCGATATACCTCACAGTCTTAAGAAAAATATGTTCAATTAGTATGTGTTGAGAACACGTGATTGCATAATGGAACTGAATAGTGGTTCTTCACTGCTGGCTGGGTAACTCAGTGAGCCGTGAGCTATGCCCAATTTTCTCTGCATTATAAAATACATTACCAATATAGTATGCGCAGGACAACAAGACTAATTGACATAGCCCAGCGGATCAGTTTTCTGAGGCGGCATTAGTTCGTCTGTATGTTAATACTCAGGTTAAAAACTAATGTTTTTAATCTAAAGCCTAAATTCAAGATTTAATTTATTTTACTGAGGGATTACGTCAATTTTTTTTACATCAATTTTAATCTCCTATATATCATTTACTCTTTAGGGTTAAATTTCCAAAAATCCTAAAACACATATTTCGAAGCTTCTCAACCAAAGCCCTTTACCAACCGTTGGGGACGAACGGTTCTCGAGTAGAAGTCTCCTATTTGTAAGTGCAGTGATGGGCGAACTCCACTAGAAGCAGTGACGACCTGATGAAACACGTAGGTAGTCGATGGTTGTAGGTGGCTCAGGGCTGAACTTTGTTGCAATCTATGTAAACCTGTGTTCAACAATGGTCTTGTGATGGGCTACAGTGATATTCAAATGCATTATCACAAAGCTTTAGTAGAAACCCGACATAGTCTCTTATTTATATTACGATGCCTTAATAAGATCGAGAATTACTTTTGACAAGATTGATCGATCAAGTAGCCCGTGACCTTACGAAAAATGAGAAATTGTTCGAATGTAAGCCTATATACAAAATATATATATATAAATACTTTAAATTACTACTTACGTGCCAAGATAAAATGTTATGCAGGCTCGCTAGCACCGACTCGGATGCGAATGCAATTGTATGAGTGCCCTCTTCCAGGGAGTGAATAATTTGCAGCATTCTCGGATTTCGCATTTTCTCGAGCTGAATGACACAATATCGGATACGCTCAAGCATGGTCTCTTTGCGCTTTGGCTTAAATAGCTTCTCAGCGATGCGTTTATCAAACACGAACACCGAGCATTCCTGCGAAAAGAAGGTAAGTATTCATATTTATGTTCGTGGTTGTATCATAAAGGGATTTTATTAGACATAACTTCCAATGAAATCTTTCTATGAGGTATAACGGCTGACATTGAAACTATCTTTGCTTTGCAGAAAAGAGCCATAAGAGCAATTTATAACTCAGGTCCGAAGGAATCCCTTAGAGAAAAATTTGATAAGTTTGACCACTCAGTATATTTACGAAAATTTAATGCATATACACACAAAACAAAAATATTTTTATTCAAAGTAGTGCTGTAAATTATTTAAATACTAGGAACAAACACAAAATAGTTATAGCAGTTACTCGACTCCAAATAGTCAGTAATTCATTTTTACGCTTTTACAACAAAGTCACAGAAAATATACAGGCGTTATCTATCAAAACGTTTAGATTTTTTATTAATTAAAATTGTTTAGTAAGGGTTATTAAACTATTAAAGAATACATGATTGATAATAACCCCTGGGAGTGAGGTGGTCGGTACCATGCTGTTTCTAAATCTTTTTATATTAATTGTATAAAATACGTAATACATTATAAATTAATTTTATTTAATAAAAATTCCACTGTATTTTTTGCTGGTTCTACAGAGGTTTTTTCCGAACCAGTGATAAAAGTAAAAAATAACTTTCAATACATGTAATCTATATTCTATTCTAAATAATCATAAAACTACCTTTGTCAACCCATGTCCAATACAAGCGTGACAACTATGACAAATATCCTCCTTCTCGTATGAGTCAATGTATAGAGGAAAATTTTGTTTAACAGTGGACTTTATCAGATGTCATGTTTATGATGATGATAATGAAACGTAAAATTTAGTTTTCAAAATCAAAGTTTTTAACATATCAAGAGGATTATATTGTAAATAAATAAGTGAAAAATAATAATAATAATATATGAGTGAGTTACAGCCATCAATTTAAAAAAAAATCATACTTCACTGTAGTTTAACAAAATGACTATAACTAAAAAACAAATAGGTAAGTAGTCAAGCAATAGATTGAAAAAGTAAAAAAAATAAATAACAGCCGCAACACTCGAACGCTTTGCTCGTTTTACCTAATAATAGTCATGAAACGACGATTACGTCAGATATCAGGTCGCAAATTGAGGGTTACGAGAAGTAATACACGACACTATCACACAGCAATATCGTCATTTGATTTTTAAGTTCTGCTTTGAAATACAAACCAACAACAAATCTCATCGTTTTTTACTTTATTTGACGTTATTTTCTAGTAATTTTTTTATAGAACTAACTTAAAAACTTTCGCTGCGTTTAATCGCTGAATGGCTATTCTTAGCCTTTAATCGAGGAAACAACTATCCCTCTTATCACCAGCAGCGACGACCAGTGCAGTAATTTGATGGATGCTTTGTTTTTGACACACTTTTTAAATATTTTTTTGACCTGTATGCAATCATGTATTCATGTTTATCGACTGCCTCGTTGGGTTGGTCTGGTACTCTAAGCGCGACTGCTGTTCATGTGCATCTAATCGGTAATCGGCGTAAATTTAATGTTAAATTTGGAAACTTTAATTTATTCAATTTACACGTAATTTCAATTGTTACCTTTAACTTTTGATATTCCTTAAATCGCTTCTAAAGGTAAAGAAACTTATATAAAATAATCTACATATAACAGCTTGTGAAGTAGGAGATTTAACTCTTAAATATATACTATGTCTTATCATCGATTTTAGGGGTTATTATGTGGAATATATTAGAATATATTTTTATTTTATATTATATTATCTTTAATGGTAAGACTTGGTATTATGTTACTTTCAGTTTAAATTAAGCGGTTTGTCATGATGTTTATAAACACAAATAATTTTTATGGTCCAAAAAAATGAGCAATATTATATTTTCAATATAATCCCAATGGTATTTCTCAAAAATAATAGATATACATTTTCATCCCAGTCACAAAATTGGCGATAACATAGTGCAATGAAAACTCAATTTAAATTTTCGAAGTTGATCCCTAAATATCCTACAGTAAGCCAACTTTAAAATGAATAGCGTACGAAATCGGATTCAAATGTCAGTGATACATATTGCTTTTATTAAATGGACGCAGTAAAAATTGTTGTATTTTTTTTTATATTGAAAGGACAAATTAATTTATAGTCCAGCTGATGGTGATAAAGCAAAAAAGGTTACAGGAGCGTTGTCACCTCTAAGGACGTGAATGAAATGTCTCACAGCCTTAAACTGTACTCGCTTCCTATACCCTTCAGAAATACTACCGGACTACCACTTGCATCGTCATTTATAATGCATACAGCAAAGGAGTGAAATAATTTGCCAGCGTCTGCTCTCTTTCTATCCGATTGCTATATGGAGTGTTTTAAGGCAAGGGTGTATAGGCTTTTATTAAGCTAAGTCAGTATGCGTTACCATTTTCAACTGCATGAATACTTACCATCAGGTAGTATAGCAGTCAAGCACTGGCTTGTATTAGTTAAAAAAAGATGATTAGTACAATCTTGGCAGGTGAATTGGTGAACACAGTTGCAAACAATTTTTATCTTTGATACCGCTCTCCATCACCAGCACAACTAATTTTAATCAACATTGAATATGTAATAGATTTACAAGAAACATGGACTATCCGCTTAGTGTCTTTACGCTTTTTGCATCTGATGAATAATGTTATCAGAACCTTAGTGATCAAGATACTCGTCTCTTGCTTATCTTTGTTGCATTGCAACAAGTCCCTACAGATAGATAAAGATACTGATCACCAACATTTTAATCATGCCCATATCAATTAATTTCATATTGTAAACGACAAATCATTCAAATTTCTCAATACTCCTTTCTATTTTAGCACTGATTCAATACTTTTTCCGATGCTATTGCTGTAGTAAAAATAAAAATTGTACATTTTCATCGCAAAAGAAATTTATAATAATAGATCGCTCACACAGAATACCGACTCAAAATAACAGTATAATATTGTTTCATAAATTTTATTAAGACGCAAATTTTATTAAGCCGTAGTCTCACGAGCCAATTCCATCAAAGTCCACATGGGTGACTCTAAATTAACCATTAAGTTCACCTCTTTTTGCAGAAATATGAAGAGACTTGATGGATTAAATTGTGTAAGAAGCCGACTATGTGGTAAAAGTAAAAAGGTAGGATAAAGTATGAAAGACTATAGTATAAAAATATATCGGCTCAACCTGTTTCATCCTAGTTAATGGTTCTTCTAAGAATATATCTAAAAATTAGTGGAAAATAACAACATAACGCTTTTGGTTTGTGTACGGTACAATAAGGTCGTTTAAAAATTATGAAAATCAGAATTACTGCCAATGATTTTGGCCGTGCAGTGACGATGTAATAATATCCACTATTTCATCTCGCTAGTGTCAAAAAAGGAGACAAATAGAAAACAAACCTAAAATGGATGGCGGCGGCTTCCTAATAACGACTAGAAAATAAAAACTGCGGTTACCTGCTGAGCGTGGCAACTAAGGCATAGATGTATACGTATTTTCTATTTGATATTTGCCATTGGTGCCACGTGTCAATTATTGTTTGGGAAAAATAAATAATGATTGATTTAATGAAGTTCATAGTGCGGTTGTGAAGCACTCGTTGAAACACATGGATCAACCTTATCATTAAATATTTTCAAAATACAATGTCAGTATTTTAGTTAAGGTTACAAAATATTGTCACAATAAAAAAAAAACTCATACAGTTGCGGAGTGATTTCGATCGATCAACGATCCCCAACAGCCTGACACAATCGCACTTGTTATCGATAGTACATTATTTGAAAATTTGCGAGTAATAAGGGTGAATGCAGATAAGGTATTAAAATATAAATAAAAATTAAATGAATCATTACCTTTAGGAAATCAAATTTAATTTCCTTCACAAACAAACCAGTCGAGAAGTACATTCGGCGGAAATCAACAAGGGCCCGTGTCGCCCCCGCTATCAATGTTACCTCTTATGTTGCTGAAGATCGTTTTGAAGAATTTCATTTCAAGTATTATATTTATCTCTATAATTAAAAATGAGTTAGTCTCACTAAAAGTCGAAAACGGCTAGAACGATTTTGATGATTTTTTTGTGTGCTTTTGAGTGGGTTCCTGAATGATTTAGATTTACAATTGGACCCGGTAGGTGGCGCTGTTGTCAAGATCATTCGTGCGAAGTTGGGGCGGATAGTGATATGTAATTTTTTTTAAGTTTGTTATTCAATCTTGGTGATTGCAAATCTGCTTTGCATTTAAAAACGTCCGTGTCTATCAGTGAGTGAACTATTACGAGTTGAGAAAGCCAAGAAAATCCAGTACAATCCTTTAAGTAGCACAGCACTTGATAAAATGAATTTTTAATACAACTTAATGGAAATTCAAGCGTGCCTGTGATAATTTAAAGACGAAGATGTGATTTTATGTCTTTAAATTGAGCAACGTAATATTTGAATTTTTCTCTGGGATCATTATTAACACTACCAAATTCATGTCAAAATAATGGCTTATTGGATTCTAAATTTTTAATACATTAATTGTTACGGGCGTAAATTGAGCAAATATATTCGTAAATTGCATATGGAAAACCTCCTCCATGGACCACAAAGGATTTACAACACATTTAACAATATACTATATCATATACATATATAATATACATATCTCGTAGCTAAACGCTTATAGACACGACAACAGAAATATGATAGTATAAAATAATGTGGTATAAACCTTTTATTAAATAAAATATAACCAGCTCAGAAAGAAAATGTTCTAAATTAACCTTACTTCTTTCAGAATTTAATAATATCTCATCTCCGTGAAACGCAACCTATTTGTATTGGAGTAGCGAAGCGAACTCTCAAGAACTCGATTACTTTCTGAAAATGAGAGGCAGTCTAAGCTGAGACGTTTATAAATAGTTACTTTTTCGTTTTACAAGTTTATTTATACTAGTGTATAAAACTATAC